GGGGCTAATTTGTGAATCCCCTCCATCTGCCTTCTTAAACGAAATAAAAAGGTATGCCAGCATTTTTAAAATTTTCCGATACTTTGCTTATAGTCTATTATCTTTGAATAGGTGATGAGAAGTTGAGTTTTGATTAATGCTTTTAGCTTAACATCTGACGTGAACTAACCAAATCACTGTATTAGATTCGTAAGTTGACCTCACCTGAGGTCCAAGATTGATTGCTTTGCAGCCTTGACTGTAGATTTGTGCGAATAAGTCATTGGCTCACCGTTTCGCAACCCAGATGAATCCTTGCTGAGCTTTCGTCCGTTATCTGACGGACATCATCAGAGTATAACACCATACTTTACGATAATCTACCAAGCTCCAAAACAAGAAAGATGGCCGGCTGCAATCCTACCTTTGCGCTTAATGAATTATCATAAAGCATGGTTTTCTGCTCTATCGATGTCTGTCACATGAAGTACGAAAACTCAGCAAAATTTCATCTAGGTGGCGGGACGGTAAGTAGAGGGAGTATTCGCACTAAGCTACAATCACATCTCGAAGGCAACCCGCCTTCGGATTCCGGCCAAACCAACTAACAAATCCATTCCACTCGCATCTCCATAGTAAAAGAAAGGTGCTCCAACATCAAAGCTTAGCATGTTTTAACCGAAATCCAAGGAAATTGCCTCGGGGACAGCGTCAACAAGACTGTTTGAGAGATGCTAATCTACAGCTGGCCACGACGAATCCGCCGTTGTCTTCTGATGTGGCCGACCTTCGAGTCCTCTTCATAAAACACTTTCACCAGAAATGGGTGAGAGACCAACTAAATTTTGAAGCCCATGCAACCCTGAGCATTGTGTTAGATAATGTTGGCATTTAGTCCATCTCGTAGCCGCCGTTTAGAGATTGTTTTTCCCATATCACTCTCGTATTTGAGGTGTTCGATTCTTGACTATACCAAAAGCCAAACCTCTCGCCTCGGATTGACTCATCCACGGCGACCAGGTCCGGGTAGACAGATGAAAATATACACTCAAACTCCAAGTGAGGCGCCTCCTTGTATGCATCAGATTAGGTTGTATTACGATTTGCAGGATTGTCTACCGGTAGGTGAATTCCTCTCGAGGATTCCTTTTTAAACTTGGCCTTACAGACAAAGACACAGAGATTATGTGGCTTACATATGCTACTCTATTGATTGTTGTGTGAACTTCATCCTTTGTGGAGGCAATCTTTAGGCTAATAAGGTTCATACAGTTCAGTGACACCTCTCTATACACATTTTCTTCCTTTTGTTTACGTCATGTATACTTCCGTCCACTTTTGAACCCACTCGTGTGCTTATCTTTAACGCCAACTCAAGGCCTTTAATTGAGTCATCCTTTCTGGGCTTTTCAACAAATTCTGCCTTGCCTTTTTATGTCATCATCGTTCTGTTAAACCCAGCTTAACTGGTATATGACTGATTGAGGGTCACTTTTAAGATGTGAGGCTAACCTGCAATTCTGCGATAATGCGGCATACAAGCATTCATAAATGGAATTGTTGAAAGTGAAAAAGCACTTAGTAACTCATGCTTATGCATTTAACACGCCTGTCTCTATCTTGAATTATGCTATCAAATTAGTGTCCGAAGTTCATTACACTACTTGTTCACTTCGAGCCGGCCCCCTTCCAGCATGCTTACTGGGAACATTAAAGGCTGATAAAGCCTCTGCAAGACGCTATGATACGCTTCAGTTAGATATGGTAGTTAAATGAAATTGGATTTTGTTTGTGAGAAATTATGCATAGGTATAGATCCCAAGGAGGCTGGGGCTGTTTCAAGAAACTATCCAACAGTTTGCATTTGGCTTTCCGGATACAACTAAAGGGAGTAAAATTGTCACGGAAGTGCTATTTTTAACACTTGAACATACAAGGTTGTAGAGGAGAGATTTTTGTTACGAAATTTAATTACAAAATTGCTCGATTATACGGAGGCTTTCGAGACTACCAATAGATCATATATATATATGAGATGTGTTCATCCTATTCGTGTCACTCCTGGTTGTTTAGACTTATGTTACCAGGTCGACACGATGCTCACGACGCCGTTTCGGTTCCCATTTAGGGTTTTGGCAAGATTAAGGCTGAAACATCTTCTGGGAGGTGGGACTAAGGGAATTCCAATGGAATGTTAAGGCTTATTTTGGGATTGGGAAAATCATCGTCATAAGTCCTTTAAATGCCCTAAATGACATAGGCTGACTTAGTTTTTATTCATAAATGACAATTATTATTATGAGGGGTAACTTTTTTCTCTGTTTTATTCATAAATTTAATTTCCTCGATTGTATTGAATGCAATATGCCTTTTAGTATGAGTGAACACACTCCATTTTTACCATTTCCTAACTGGTATGATGAGCTGAAAAGCGAATTTGGTTGACATTTGGTAGGACCAACTTATCGCGTCCTTCTGGAAGAACGGTTTTACCATTTGAATGCGTTGGTTATAGCGCATATAGAAAAAATATGAGAATGTATTCTCTATAAAAAATTTGTAACTGGGCGTTAGTGGTGGCAAAGCTCATTGGTGGAGCTGACTAGGATGCCATCAAATTTCCTGGGCATGTATCCCGTCAAAGGTCTGATGCTGGAAGAAATCATGGCCACTTCGAATCAGTGTTTGGTGAAGAGATCTGAAGATAGATCCCGCCAGAATACGACGGTGGATTCCTCTTGATCAGCTGTTGATTGGCCTTACATGAACAACATCAGAGCAAGGTATCATAGTCTCAACAAAATTCAAGTTAAGCCAACTAACTTTTCTTCGCATATTTTACATAAACACTCTTGTTTGTGCGGTATCCAAGGCAATCTCCTTCTATTACGGTAAAATCGTGTTAACTTTCTTCCATCATATGACGAACACCATTAGAGCATGGTATCATTCTTACAACTATACTCGAGATAATGAGTCAAAAAAACTCCAAAATAATATATATATATATATATCCTATCAGCATGATTTGTGTTAAGATATACAGTAATTTTGTCAGCTCAAATTATATGCCAATTTCGAAGCATGCACTTATGTTTGTGTGTGCTTATGTTCCTTTATATGTTCGTATATTTACGAAGCCAACAGTGCTAGCTCCAAGTAATTAGAACATAATGATCTATTATCGGTCATCAAGGTTTGATGACCATCACCATATGACAGACTAAGAGTTAGCACGTTTTCACAAGAATCGAAGAAGATTGCTTCAAAAACAGCGTCAAGAAGATTGTTCTATTAAAGCCAATCGGCGGTTGGTCAAGAGGAATTCACCGTCTTATTCTGGTGGGAGCGACCTTCGAATCTCTTAACCAAATACTTTCACTCGAAATAAAAGTGAACTCAACGATTTTTAATCAGGAGATCCTCGAAACCCAACTTTTCTTCTCATATACTTCGTTACTCAGCCTATCATTAGTGATTTCATGGTGAACTTGAAGAAGCCTCTTTTCACGAAGATCTTAACATTATACCATTTACTGGATACATTCCCAAACGCCTGATAGTCGGCATTTTTAGCAGGCAGTGCATGCCACAGCACCGAGCAACAGTTTGTCAATGTGTTCGGGAAGTTAGATCCCACCGTGCAGGACTCTGTTAAATGATTATATAACTCCTCCCTTAGGTTATGCTACTTTTTTATCTATTAACATCTCACCTCATTCACTCCATTTTCGGTAAGATCGAACCCACCCTGTACAATAAATAAAGACTTGTAATATACTAATAAAATTATTATCTTTTCCAATGGGCTATATGCGGCAAATATTTTAGTATGTTTTGTTGTATAAGATAGAAGAGTAACTTGATTTTGATGAATCTTTTAAGATACCCTTGTTAGTGAGACTTTTATTTTGCATAAAACTGCATGAAAAACAAATT